GAAATTCTTGGAAGGGTTACAGGAAAATATTCCATGATGTAAAATTTCAACTTAAAATTGTAAAATTTCAAACAACACTATGTATCGACTTGGATTTCATTGATAAGCAAGAATGGGCCGTCGTAACACTTTCTGTAAATACAAAATACAATGTTACGGAGATATTTTTCAGAGTTGCTGCCGGTGCTGCTTCGCACAGTGAAAAGTAAAGCAGGCGCCCGTCAATTGTTTCAGGGCCTGTCACTTGTTTCAGGGCCCGTCACTTGTTTCAGGGCCCGTCACTTGTTTCAGGGCCCGTCACTTGTTTCAGGGCCCGTCACTTGTTTCAGGGCTTGTCACTTGTTTCAGGGTCCGTCACTTGTTTCAGGGTCCGTCACTTGTTTCAGGGTCCGTCACTTTTTTCAGGGCACGTCACTTGTTTCAGGGCCCGTCTCTTGTTTCAGGGCCCGTAACTTGTTTCAGGGCCCGTTCCGACTCGTACTCGACCACATCGAAGCCTGTCCGGACAGCACTGGCGGTGCCGGTCGCGGTGCCGGTGCTCTGTTCAAGGAGATATACTGGCACCGCTATCACGGCCGCAAGAATGGCGACCTCCCGTACTACTGGATCAACGCGACGACCCTCTTGACTGTCGACGACTCGTTACAGGTATAAGATTTCCCACATTCCACACTCCGTCGAGGGGAGATGTTATATCTCCAAACCCTGACGCGGCACTATACCGAGAATAACGATGCAATCGACAGTTTGGGATATTTGTCGCTTCCATGCCACCCAGTAACTTCACACCATTGTGCATGCACTCGACGTTCTTGACTTGGAGCTTGCGTTCTTCTGCAGCTCGATTTGAACTGGGCCTCGTGGAGTTCTCGCGGCGGATGGAAGGAGAACGCATACGTGATGAGGCCGGGGTCCTTCTGCAAAGTTGCTTCGTCTCATGATCCTGAATTCTGGCGCAGATTTATGACCGCCATATTTGACGACCCGAATCGAAACTGCCCCTTCACTCCAGTAAGAAAAACTTTTGGCACCAGAGTAACACATGTCAATTTCGACTATTTCAGTCGTAATAGTTCAATATTTTAGATGTTAGTGCACACGCAATCAATCTCAATGTTAACTGTAAGCTGCATTATTGCATGTTTTGTTCTACAACGAAGTATTTTAATAAGATCACTTCCATTTTCAGGGATACTATGAATGCACGAATGTTTCATCTGAATTTACTTTTAGAAAGATTCCTGTATTTTTCTACGGCACTTGGAGAGTCAACATCCGTCTGGTTAAGCAATCCACGCAGAACGGAGTGTTTTGCCTTGTGTTTTTCGTGAAAACCGTGCCTAAATAGTAGCAAACCATTAAACGAACGCATGGAATGGCTTCAAGCGACATGGTGATGCTTGGGCCAACGTTATATGCGTCGGTGGCAACGAGGGGTAGCCTACCTCACACACGAAATCGGTGTACAACCTTCTTAAAAAAAAATTCTGAAGAAAAAACAGAAGAAAAACGAAACCATTAAAGAAAAATCAATTCAAAGATCAGAAAAAACACAACTAAATTTTATGAAAAACTAAAAATAAAGAAGAATGAGAGGGGGGGCACGTTTTCTCCTTCTGGTAGAGACAGTCTTGGGGACTGTCTAAAGAAGTCTAGGCGGGCTGTTGGGTTGGCAACTGTAGTTGTGCACTTGTAGGCGAGCCCTTCCAAGGCAGGCCAGTGCGGCCTGGTGACCGCCTGCCAGGCCACTCGTGTCATCATCTTCGAATGGACCTCTTTCTCTCAGTCGTTTTTATCATGAAAAGTATGGAATTATCAGCACCGCAGCACCCTAACAACGTACGCCCCTCTATCGGGACACTATAATTCATCCTTGTTACAAATCATTCAATATAAGTCCGAAATGGCTCGAAATCGCGAAATAAATGCGACTGCGAGTAGGGCAGGGCAACAAAAACACGGAGCTTGCAAAAAGAATTCGTTGTGGGAACAAAATATCCGTTGTTTTAATCAAGCGTTTGCTGGTAGAACGAATTCTTAGTTGTGAGAGCGAATAGATCGTTGACGAAGTGAATAAATCTGATTGCTGGAACAAAAGAGTTTTTAGTTGAATCAACGATCGCCTTCGCTCTCTCAGCAATGAGTTCGCTGCTCCAACGAATTTTGCGTTGCATTAGCGAACACTTGGATGAGACAACGAATTAGTTCGTTCTCACAACCCAACAGCGTTAGTGATTCCTATATCAACCCACGTATGAGTTGGATGAACTAATTATTTTTCTCCGTGATGACTTTATTCGCAGTGAGACTGCAAGGACGCTGCACGCTCTAATACTCTCTCACTCCCACCCTTCCTTTGTGTTTCCAGTGTACATAAAACGGATCGAATGGTGCACCGCCAAACTGTAACAGAGAAGTTGTACACTTACAAGTGCACACCGACGGAGGTGAACACTTGCAAGTGTACAACATTGGAGTTGCACACTTGCAAGTGCACAGCTAGCTAATTTTTGCTAAGGCAGCTAATAATTGGCTCACATTGCTAAATTTTCACTTACTAGAGATCATCGCGATTACCTGTCCCGGAATCAGCTAATTCGCTAGCTCTGACAGCACATTCTTTTTTTTTCGTGTATCCATGACTCAACGACCGTCTCTACCAGGAGGCAAAGAGGGGCTACAAGGCGCGTGGGGGGAAGTTGATGTAACGTACGAAGGCAACTAGAATTCCCTAATCGAGGGTTTGGGTTTAGGAGTTAACAAAAAATGTCAACGGGCATTGCTTTTATTTTATAATACGCAAAGAAAAATGAGTCATAGTATACC